GTTCAAAAAATTAATGGAATCCATATGTTGTTCTCAATTTTTAGAGTGTTGATATAGTGAAAAAAAAGTCCCTACTTGCATCTCTTTGCTATATGAAAAGTTTAAATATTCTTGAGATGGCAAACTACTTTTCATTAGTTTTGTTGTTTAATGTGGATCAATTTCAGGAGAAATTATTATGGATGTCCTGATGATGAAACATTCAAGTTCTTGGCAAGCTCATATAGTCACTCTCACCATAACATGTCATTGAGCAAAGAATTTCACCAAGGGATTATAAATGGCGCATTTTGGTATGACACTGTTAAAATTACTTTTAGTTTTGATTATATTAAAAACCTGGTTTCACATGAATTTTATTTAAGACTTACTTCCTCATCATTCTTTCAGCAAATTGACTTTCCAACTCGTAATATATATTTTAAAAACTTTTTTAATTTAAAAGTCAAGCAATTGATTCAACCAAAACCTGCTGCAGGTATCCAATATATGGTGGCATGCAAGATTGGAATTACATACATGGTGGCTGTCTTGAATTGACCTTGGAGATAAGTGACGACAAATGGCCTAATGCTAATGAGGTTATATATCTGTTTTAATAATCTTTTACTTGGTGTTGATAAACTTTGACTTGGATAAAGATATGCACTGTGGTGTGAGTAGTGTCAATAGATCATTTGGAATTCATAGAAATAGGCTGGCTATTTTTGGTTTTGTGTTTCATGAACTGGCTCATGTTTCTAACCTGTTCACTGTTTATAATACATAAATATGTAAGGATGAGTGTTGGCATGGGTGACTATTCTTTCGCATTGCTTTTCATGGAGTCATTTAGTCATTTGACCCATTTTCTACTCTGCATGCAGCTTCCAACTATTTGGGAATACAACAAAATTAGCATGCTTAATCTTGTTGCAAGTGTTGTAAAGGTAGGCAAAGTTTACTTTTGTAATTATCTTGTTTCTCACATACAATTGTCTGATGAAGGTGCTTGCTTTTCAGATAAATTCAAGGATCTTCCATTATTTTTGTCTATGAAAATTGGAATCTATTTTAGATGATATTTTCCTATTTTATGATTTTATTTTTCCTTCTGGTGGATGTTAAGTAGTCTGCAAATGCTGAAGTTCAAGCTACTATGTAAAGTTCCAGTTATATGATCTATGCTCTAACATGTTCCTTCATGTTCAAGGCACAATTTGCTCATGATTCTAACTCAAGTGCAATTTCAAATACAATACAAATACAACAGAAATGCAACTTATTATTACTTAATTTTGCAATGTAGTGGATTCGAACAAAAGATTACTCGGTCAACTTAGCTATGATATCATGTTAAATAACTTCTCTATCCAAAAGCTTAAGCTGATACGTGAGGGATCAATAACGGTACTTCAGCTCAAACACTGGACTATTGGTCCACTTTGTTTGTTATTCTATTTTTGGTGAATACTTGTTTCTTGTTCAAAACTTCAAATGAAAAAAGAAAGAAAAAAAAAAGAATAATATAAATTGAGCTTTATTACCTGTCTTTCATTTCATTCTTGTAATTATATTCTAGATTCTTCAATAACAAATTATTAGGGTGGAATCAGCTTACTTTGTGTAAGAGAATGTTGTAAACTGTACATTTTTTTTTTTTTTGTCTTAAAGTATTGCTCTGGCATGCATTCTATGGGATATATGAATAACAGTAATCTCTTATTTCTACAATATGACATATAAAAGTTTTGACATCTAAATGAATGTAATGATATAAACTATATGGCTCTTGCATGTTTAGAATGGAGTTCATGGAAGGATATTTTCATCAGACAGCGGAAGGCCAATACCTGGCTCAATCACAATCAAGGGAATAAATTACACGGTATATTCATAACCATATAAATGCATGCATCAATATATATATGAGGTCAATTTTGTAAGATTTGTGCACTCATCAATTCTGTATTTGGTGACTTGCAGGTTGTATATTTTTGTTTGATAGCAAAAGAGAGTGTAAATGCTAACAAAATGGTTTCTCTTGGTCATTTATATTAGCAATGTAATTGAATGGTCTAAATTAGAGGTCATAGAATCCTACATTGATCCAACGTCGCATAAAATGATTTGTACAATGTTAGCGTTTCCAAATAATATACCGGTAGAATGTGATTGACATGTATTTATATCAAATTTGAATAAAATGACGTCTCAATCTTTTATGAACTTTGTAGATTTTTAGAATGATTTTTTGTTTGTTGAAATTTTCTTCTTAAACACAGGAGTAGGAGGGGTTTTACTGTGCTGCATTCTTTTCATTATACAGTAACAAAATTTCACTCACACACAGGACAGCAGAAACTTCGCCAAGCATGTTTCTTTCTGCCCTTTTTCCCCCTCTTTCAGAGTTGGATTTGTAAAGCATTTTAATGTCTAGATTTTCACTGAATCTGTTCATCATCATTTTGTTTCTTTTATTGTTCTTCTTGGTTGATTAGTTCTAGGGTAAGCTATTGTCATATAAACTGTTATTTGAACTTTTTTTTTTTTGGCATAACATGGAGCTCTGATACATACTGAGTTATGCTTAACAGGTTAAAGCTGGTCGAGCATTTGCTGATTACTATCGACTGCTTGCACCAGGCAAGAAATATGAAGGTACTGATATTAGTTAATAGCATCAATTAAAGTTTCTTTTTGCAGATGGATTTTGAGAACTTGGGACACTTGAACTCAACTAAAAATGACCAAAGCAGAAGGTTACAGTGTAATGAAAGAGGTGTTGATGAAGGCTAACACCATTGAGAAATGTTGTTTTGAACTTCTCTTCCCTAAATGAACAATCTATCACTGAAAAGTGGGCGTATGATATGTCAATTCTCGTGATAACATGAACATATAAATTTGATACTAACCCTCACTAGATGCTTTAGTAAACGTTTTTCAACATGCTCTAAATTCCTACCCAGTTTGCAGGACAAAATTTCCTTTGTTTCAGCATTTAGCCTGCTACATTTTATGAACTATACTTATCATTCTTTTCTAAAATTGTTATATGATTTTGATGTTTATCTTCACTGAAAATATACTCAAATAGATTTAAAAAAAGTTAGTACTTTTTTTATGGATTGCATAGATTTGAGCAGAGTCTCTTCTTCCTAGTACTGAAATTTTCAGGATTGCGGTGTATCAACAATTTGTTATGTTGGTGACGGTACATTTTATCTTATTCTTTTCAAAAATGTTTTTATGGGGTTTCAGTAGTTTTGGAGAATGCTGATTCTAGTGGTTGTCTGATTGAAAATTTTTGGAATGTATTTACCATTTTGGAATTTCTTTATTTTTTTTTAGGTTGTAGTTGGGATAAGTGGAATCTCTGCAATTGTAAAAGGACCAAAAACTGTCAACAGTTTTTTTTCCTTCTTGCATCTCATCCACCATATAGGAAGACGAATTTCTACCTGAACTTTTTTCTTGTCTTATATGAACTTGCAATTCTTCTATTCTGTTAAGAATTGCTATCTGGTTCCGAAATGTAATTCTGATATGAACTCAAACATTTTGCTGCAGTTATAGCCTCTGTGCCAGGGTACAGATCGAAGTCAACCATCATCTGGTTGGAAGAAGCAACGACACTAGATTTTATTCTTGATCCAGAAGAAACACTCGAGGGGAATTTACTACGAAGCATTTGCGACTGCAGCGGTGGCGTAACAACCAAGCTTGTTTGGGGGTATCACATGGAAATTTGTTTTGTTTTGGTAATAATAGCTTTCCTCTGCTTTTTATTAAAGAGGAGAACCATATTCACCCTCGGAAAGCCTAGACAGTCTTCGAAAAGGTCAGTTATGATATGAAGGTTTCTATGAAACCTTCTTGTATATTTTGTACCATTGAAAGAAATATATACACATTTTTGTTCTTCGTCTGCTAGGTTTCTCTGTTGTAGATGCCGAATTTATGATGAATTCTTCATACAGTATGAGAAAATGCTATCGATTAGCAATTCGTGTTCGGCATGAGTGTGATACACGTGTTTAAATTTTTTTCTTTTTCCCAATAAAAATCTTACACGTTATTTATCGAATATGTAGTAGAGGTCTACCGGAGATGAGCATTGGTTTGTAGAAAACTGATAAAAACTTGTGGAGAAGCTCAAGCTCTACATGTGCTTTTGAGAAAGATTTGCCCGTGCCTTACTAGGTTAGTTGAAAGATTGTTATCGGTTTAAAGATGCAATGTTTTCCCGCTCTTTCAGGGTAAGAAGGCTTAAGAAAAGCTTAAACTATCTTCAATAGAGGTGTAATTTTGAATAATGTTATATTTACAATCGAATTATACAATCAAGTATATAAATAGACAAAAATTTTATAAAATTTATGTAAAATGATTACTCTATTTTATGTTTTTTTATCTATTTGTATGTTATACAACTCAGTTGTAAGTATAATATTATTTAATCAGTTATACTCTTTTAACATTTAATTCATTTAGTATTATTAAAACTTTTGAAAAGTAAAAATCTAAAATTATGAATTCCCTTTATTTAGCTACAATTTTTGTTTTTGTTTTTGTTTTTATCTTTTCAACCATCTTGCACTGATTAAAATTTGCTGCTTTTGAAAAATAAAAAAACTTTTTTATAAAATAAATAGGAAATTATCATAATTTTTAAAATAGCTTCATGCAGCCAATAATAGAATATGCTTAGATGTGATAATTTGATATTCATTTAGAAAGTTGATTGTATAATTATGTCACATAATTTATCAACAAATTCTTCTTCATTTTCAGTTATACATTAATTATCAACCAACTAATTTGTGTTGATTATTTTCAGAATTAAGTTCTCTTTCTTTCTAGTATCTTTGTCACGTACTCATAACAACAATATATAATGCATTATTATTAATACCATATTTTATAACAGAGGAACGATCAAAATAATTAATTAAATTAAGCTAGTTAGGCTAACTTTGAGTTCAAATAAATCCACCCCGTATCGGTTTGAGGATAAGGGTACACGAGTAATCTACATTTAAACGTTTAAACTATCTACGTTTTGCTTTTAACTTGGAGCAGCCCTGCAAGTGCAAATTAATCTCTCTGAAACTTTTTAGGGTTTGTTTTGTATCTCAAAATCAACTCTCTTTTGCTTCTGGGCTTGTTTGAATTCTCCCGTTTAATTAATGGCAAAAAAGCGAAAGTCACAAGAAGAAGAGCCGAACCATGAACCCAAAACCCTAAAATCATCCTCATCTTCCGACGAAGAATCAGAGTCAGAAGAAGCCGATGAAGTAGAAGAACAGAAGGAATCACCATCATCGTCGTCGTCGTCNAACAGGAAATTATCATAATTTTTAAAATAGCTTCATGCAGCCAATAATAGAATATGCTTAGATGTGATAAATTGATATTCATTTAGAAAGTTGATTGTATAATTATGTCACATAATTTATCAACAAATTCTTCTTCATTTTCAATTATACATTAATTATCAACCAACTAATTTGTGTTGATTATTTTCAGAATTAAGTTCTCTTTCTTTCTAGTATCTTTGTCACGTACTCATAACAACAATATATAATGCATTATTATTAATACCATATTTTATAACAGAGGAACGATCAAAATAATTAATTAAATTAAGCTAGTTAGGCTAACTTTGAGTTCAAATAAATCCACCCCGTATCGGTTTGAGGATAAGGGTACACGAGTAATCTACATTTAAACGTTTAAACTATCTACGTTTTGCTTTTAACTTGGAGCAGCCCTGCAAGTGCAAATTAATCTCTCTGAAACTTTTTAGGGTTTGTTTTGTATCTCAAAATCAACTCTCTTTTGCTTCTGGGCTTGTTTGAATTCTCCCGTTTAATTAATGGCAAAAAAGCGAAAGTCACAAGAAGAAGAGCCGAACCATGAACCCAAAACCCTAAAATCATCCTCATCTTCCGACGAAGAATCAGAGTCAGAAGAAGCTGATGAAGTAGAAGAACAGAAGGAATCACCATCATCGTCGTCGTCGTCATCATCAGAGGAAGAAGAATCAGAAGGAGAAGAAGACGACGATGACGACGAAGAAGAAGAAGAAGATGATGATGATGATGAGCACTCGAAGCTGGAGAACGTAAAGAAACTTTTAGAACCCTTCAGCAAGGACCAGCTTATCGCGATTCTCAAAGAAGCCACTCAATCTAACCCTTCAATTACCGCCGAAATCATCTCCTCCGCCGACTCGGACCCTGTCCACCGCAAGATCTTCGTCCACGGCCTTGGCTGGGATGCCACTAACGAAACTCTAATGGCTGCTCTCAAACTCTTCGGCCCAATCGAGGAATGCAATGTCGTCACAGATAAAACCACCGGCCGTTCTAAAGGCTACGGCTTTGTCCTTTTCAAGACACGAGCCGCCGCGCGTAAGGCCTTGAAAGAGCCGCAAAAGAAGATAGGAAACCGAATGGCCGCCTGCCAGCTGGCGTCCACCGGACCTGTTCAGAATCAAAACCAGCCGGGTTCTGAGGTGAGTGCTCGGAAGTTGTATGTGGCGAATGTGGGACCACAGATTAGCCCGGAGAAGCTCAGTGCGTTTTTCACGAAATTTGGGGAGATTGAGGATGGGCCATTGGGGTTTGATAAAATGACAGGGAAGTTTAGAGGTTTTGCTATAATTGTGTACAAGACATTGGAGGGAATAAAGAAGGCTTTGGAGGAACCAGTGAAAATTTTTGATGGTGCTAAGTTGTTGTGCTCTATTGCCGTTGAAGGCCGCAGTGCTAAGAATAATAATAATGCTTCATCAGGTCCGACACCTGTGGCTACAGGTGTTAATGCGGCGATAATGCCAGGTTTAACAGTGGGGTTCAATCCTGGTGCTGTTTTGTTGGGGCAGAATCCGGCTGCTTTGGGGGTTTTGAACCCTGTTTTGGGTGTTGGAGCAGGCGCATTTGCTGGTGGGGTTACGCAGCCCTTGAATAATGTTGGGAATGCAGCTGCAACGATGGGATTGAATCCAGGGTTTGGTGTGCAACAGGGTATTAATGGTATGAATCCAAGTATGATGGGTGGTTATGGTTCTCAGGCTACTTTCCAGGGATTGGGAGCTTTTCAGAATTCCCAAGTGGGTCAGCCTTCGGCATCTGCAATCGGAACTGCGGCAGCTAGGTCTCAAACTGGAAATGCACCTTTTGTCGGGCGCTAGGTAACAGTTCAAACTCTGGCCTGTAAGGGTCTGTAATGTGTAGGACTGTGATTTTGATCAAAGAGTCAGAATAGTATGTTGCCTCTTTGGTTTTGGGGGTCTTTGCAAATTGCTCCTGTTTTACTTAAACCTGGATTTTAGGTGGATGTAATGTTCTGACTACCATGTGTACACTACCTTTTAAACTGATAACTTTTTATTACTTCTATTGAATTTAGCTTTAATTTTCTCAAAAGTACAAGTATCTGTGTTTTTCCTACTGTGTGCAGTTGAGAAAATAAGCTGTTGATAACTGGAATGATTTCCCCATTTTGTGTTCATTCCTTTGCTTGATGATAGCATCTGTTGCACCAGCAACTAGCTTTCATTGAAGTGAGGCAGAATTGAAGATAAAGAAATTCTAAGATCTTGCCACACTGTTTTTTATGGAAAGGTAATTTGTTGACGCCTTCCTGTCTCCGATTCTTCTCTCATACGAGAAAATTTGGTCTAGGAGGCCTTCCATTTTGCCAGAATTCTTTAATAGTTTATGTATGAATTCACGATGGAAGGAATTTTCTTCTTTCTAACATCACTGAAGAGAAGTTTGATCATATATTTGGAGAGTTTGCTTGTAGATGAGTTGCTTTGAGTGATCATGTTCTAGAGAATAAGATCAAAGATTACTAGACTTTAATGTGAAGCCTATTAGTTCAAATGCAGCAATTTTATGAGTAATCTGGTGCTTGGTCGACGCTTTCAATTTTGAGCAAAGTTGTACCAGCTGGATCTTCTGAATATATATTAATTGATAAATAGCATTTAAACGATTTTAAGTAGTTAATAGTGTAGAAGATCCCTATTCTTGAGTAATTTGTGAGACACATGAATCAAATATTTTATGGTTTGCTTTGATAAAATGATTATAAATTAATCCAAGCATAATATCATGGACTAATTTTGGGGTGATGCAACACAAATTCGGTAATGTCTCAATTTTTTTTTTTTTATCCCAAGTGACATTATTCGTTATCATTTACATAAATTCATCACATAAAAAAAATTGCCCTAAATGGTTAACCTACAATAAAAAATTTGTATTATGCAAAAACATCATGAAGTCACATCTGGTTACACCAGAAATTTTTTTTAAGTTCAACAAGAGGCACTTCCAAGAAAGGATTTAACTAACCCTATAAAGTTACTGTATTTGTGCTACATCTTATTCATTTTCAAAACTTGGATCAACATACTCCGATTACACAAAACAATCCACCATTAGATTTAACGGGTGGGTTTCTTTTTTCCTGGAATTGCAACCCTCTTACCCTTACGGGTCCTGGCATTCGTGCTGGTTCGCTGTCCTCTGCATGGCAACCCCTGCTGATGCCTAATCCCTCGATAGCATTGTATGCCTACCAATCTTCCTATATCGTTATCAATGCATCGCTTCTGAAACACCGAAAAGTAAATTTGTTATGGAAAGGAAAAGCTTGATTTAGAGTAAAGGAGCAGAAGAGAAAGCTAACCAAATCTTCTCCAGTCAAGTATCTTAAAACTTCTTCACGAAGATTATTGAGCTCCACTCCAGTTAAATCCTTGGTGAGTTTGTTCCCTATGCTGAGGTCACAGAGGATTTGATGAGCTCTGGAGCGACCAACTCCATAAATGTGCTGAAGCGAGAATTCAAGTTTCTTGTCATTTGGAATCTCTGTGTTCCCCACACGAAGGCATTGAAAGCGTAGACCACGGAACTGCAGACAACAATATGACTCCATTGACTTAAACCATAATCCTGAGCTTGTTGTACAGAATGCTTAAGGGCATAAATGTCTTGAATTTGGGTAATGCTATGGGTACTAATGGATTCTACAAACTGGTGTACTAACTTAAAGCATAGTACGGGTACCATGTGCATAGTACAGGTACTATGTGTGTTTTTAACAAAAGTTAGCACATTGATTAGTAAAATCCGTTAGTACGCACAGTATTATTCCTTGAATTTTGATCATATATCATCTGTAAACCCAGAAACTAAAACAAGAACTTAACTAAGCTTACTTGAACTGTTTAGTTTATATTATGGAATTGCATTGCAGTCTGAGCAGATTAACAATTGGGTGACAGGATAGAGGGTAAAACCAACATTAATATAGTGATACCATTCCATTGCAAGATTTAAGGAAATGAAAACAAATTCTACTGAACGCCATATATATATATCTACTGGTATTTAGAACCTAAACATGTAAAAAATCTCCGATAAATTGTCTTGTGCCTGTTAAAATTATTGACATATTAATTATTTTATGTTTTAGAAGAACTTTTCATGCCTTTCTAAATAAAAAACATAGGCAAATTTGGTAAATAGTTTAGTGCCAACTTTATCATACCCAGTCTACTTGGAGGATGTTAAAAAAAACTGATTTATCAGTGTTGCCTCCTTTAAAACCCATTTTCTGGCTGAGAAATTATGAGAGAAGAAATCAATAATTCAATATTTTTCCTACAACTTCTTACCAAGATAACAATATCTGAAATAATGTTAACTAAAAATCAAACACATAAAGCCTAAAAAATTATTTAGCTAATGAAACCGACAAGAAGAGTTTCAAAGATCTGAAACCTGAATAACCAAATACTTTCAAATAAAAAAATTTGCTGTTACAAATCACAGTCATTTCCATTACTTTACTTTATGGGCAAACTGAAGAAAATATTAGGAAGAAATGACAATAAAAACCCACTCCCAAAAATAGAAAAGAGAGATCATAAACTACAACTTTCAAAATTTTAAAACCTAAACCCCAAACAAGATACAGAATGTTATAAACCTTACTAGTTACTACAACTAGCAAGTACTACACATGCTAAAGTTCTGAAAACATAAAAAACTTGCCTCTCAAAGAATTAGTGCATGATAAGCAGAAAAGAACTCACTGAAACAGTCTGAAGGAGTCTCTGACTGATATTAGAAAGTAGCCCAACTGAATTCTGTAAACCAATCATTGTAAATATCCAGCAATATTAAAGGAAACCAGAATTAAGAAAATGACAGAGATTTGGTAGTTTGGTCCAGTGCTGATCAGAATAACTGGTGTGATGGGCTGTGTGTTCTCTTTCCTCAAGAAGAGAACCCCTCCTGTGTTAACCCCACAAATTTGTAAGTTTATTTTGAAAGTACGAAATTTAGGCTACATGTAAAGCATAAACAAGTTAAAGTAAAGAGGAACGGAAAGTAGACTCTAATAAAATTCAAAATTTCAATAAAGAATTATAAATTTCAACGAGATAAAACAAATAGGTATGATATTAATGATGATATTCACTCCACTTATTAAAAATCCAAGTATGATAACAAAAATACAATTGGCTCGAATAAAGAAAAAGAACCATTCTCTATCAACTGATCTCCATAAAACAATAAGCACAAAAACCATCTCCACAATCGTAGTGGATACCCCTGACCTCCTTCTTAACCAGCTATGGAGAAGCAAAGCTGACAAAATATTTACAGAGTATTTGAACATAGACGGACATAACTAATTTTTATAGAATCAATATATCCCCAAACAACCAAATCCAGAGACAAAAACCATGTTCCCCAAACTATATGCAAGTTTATAGATTACAGAAAGAGAATCAATTAAAACCAACAAAAGGACTGCAAAAAAACACCATGCATTTGAGTAGTTTTGAATAACAATATCCTTCAAGAAAATCTCTGGAAAAAAAAAAATAATAAATAAAACCAACTTAGTAAACCCTAACCATCTCATTTACTTGATCCCCACACAGAATTTATTCATCAAAACAACTTTCAATAGTTCAGTTTGAGCCCTCAACATAAAACCAGATCTGAAATTAAAATTTTCAAAAGCATAATATCAAATTCTGAGATACTTACTCTACTTAGGCACTATTAAAACACTATACCCAGTAACCAAATCTAGAAACTTCAATAAAAAAATAATAAATTCTCCAATGCCGCGGTTCATGGAATTCAAAGCTTTACAACAAGAAACGTCTATTTCCAAACGAAGTAGAAAAATTTTAAAAACATAAATAAATACGAATTTGTGTACCCTTTTCTTTGCAAAAAAAATATCCCGGAAAAAGAAAACATAAGAGACACTTTACAGAAGAAAAATTACCAAGTGGCGCGGCGGCGGTTCCCGGTGGCGACGGTGGACAGGGCTGAACTGGAGTGACGGCAGCAAGTGAATTAGAGTGAAGAATGAAGAGGGTAAGTAGGGTTCGTTTATGTTCCCACAAACGACGTAGTGTAACAAATTTTCTTTTCTTTTATTTTTTAATTTTTTTTTTTAATGGGCTGGGCCTAAATTGATCTTTTACGGTTAAACCCCAATTTCAAGTATGCTCTATTATTAAAAAGCATATGAGTTAATAATTAATACCCCGAGGTTTCATATAATAACAAGTATCTTTTTTAGGTTTCTAAAGTAATATAAATTTTCTTATCGTTAATGAATTGTTAGTGAGTGGTAAAACTTTACACTTTATGAGGCCCTTTGGATCGGGGGTACATAAGATAATGAGGGTAATCTTCGTTTATTTTGCAAGATTTCGGTGTTTGATTTACAAGTAAAAAAATATTACGGTAATCTTTTATTGCAAGTAGTCTTTACTGTTGGTAATGTGAGAGGTAATTTTATTACCTTACTAAGGAGTGTTATTAAAACATTATCGAAGTAATCTAATTTTTTAACCCATTTTGCCTTTAATTAAAAACCATCTTGGACAGTCCTCAAATGTCTACCAAATAACAATTACCTAGCCCCCCTACATTTGAAAAATTAGCTAAAACATCCAAGCCATAAAAAAGTTTAAAAGTTAACAAAATACCTACAGTCACCCAAGACCACTGTCAGTCGTGACTCACCACTGTCGGTCTTGACTTACCATCGTCGGTCATCGGTAAGGCCTTTTCCAGCCATGGATTTGATTTGGCGTTTCTATGGCCATTTCAAGGTCAAAGATGTGGCCGTGAAATGACCATAGATCTGGCTGTTTTCTGGCCATGGATTTGATCCATGGCCATTTTTGGCTTTATCGGCGCACGATCTGCCATATACGGCTAGTCGTCCACCATTTCATCGATTGCCAGTGGCGACCGACGGTGGTGGTTGGCTGTCGGCAGTGGCTTGGAGTGAGTGGGGGTGATTTTGCTACAAATTAAGGTTTTATATGGTTGGAGTGTTTTAGCAAAATTTCAAATGTAGGGGGTTAAAAGAAATGATTCAAAAAATAATAATAAAAAATACTATTATATTAATATTTAAAAAAGAGTGCAATTTAGTAATCTATATAACATACCTGCCCATTTATCTTCCCAACCAAACATATTATTCACCAATTTATTTGAACCAACCAAACATATTTTCTAAATATTTTTAGTAATTTTCAAGGTGATATTTCTTTCTGTTAATATAATATTCCCCTATAATAAAACATTATATGATTCAAACAGCCCCTATGAGTTAATAAATATTACCAAATTGCCATTTCACCGTTTATTTTAACGCTTAAAACTTAATAATAAGAAAACTTGTGTTATGTTATTTTGAAAATTTCAAGAAGATTTTTGTTGTTATACCAATACCTTAAGGAGAATAATGTCATTAATTCTTATTAAAATTTTAGGAGTTATTATGAGAATTTTTGAGTAATTGTTAAATGCATATCTCAAATGCAATCTTTACTTTTTAATTACAAACTATATGTTACATATAATGACATATCATCACTTCGAGCGATTGTTTTTGAAAAAAAAATTGATGAAAAATCGTTTTTGGAAAAAAAATTGATGAAAAATCATTTTTGAAAGTAATTTTTGTTATGCTCAATATTAAATTATATATTATTTTTATTGTATTTTCTATCAAAAAAAGAGTATTATTAACATGTTCAATTTGTATTGGGTTACTTTTTAAATTAACATTTAAACTTTTAATTAGAGTAATAAACTAAAAATAGCTCTTTTAATATTAAAAACATTTTTCATTTATTTGTTTTAGTTTATCCTGTGTAGTTCTAACATGTACAGCTCTTTTAATTATTTTTGGGGAATTATTTAATAATTTTTTTTTTTCAAACGAACCCTCATATCATCCGTCATCACCCTTATGCAAAAATTTACTACTTTTATCTTTTGAATTGTTTTGCCGGATTGATGTTCAAGACCTTTAGTCTCAACTTAGAATTGATTAAAAAAAAAGGAACCACTTTTACGGGATTAGTGGAAAAGATATAGTTCATAGCAATGTTTTAAAAACCGACACAGGACAAACCCTGGCAAGATGGCCGGGTCTCGGGTCAACCGGTGACGTCAGCAAAACACTGTTCACAGAATCCATTTATTTCCAAATTTTGCTCCAAATCATAAACTCCAAAATAAAAAATCCCTAGCAAAGCATCATCAAACATCATTACATCAATAATACAACAAATTACAAATCAAAATAACAAAATGAATGAAAAGAAATCACATAATAGTTGTTTCAAGTTTTCAATTTTCAAGTCAACACTTCAACATTTTAACAAAAAATGATCTTCACCAAATGGTCTTCAATCCATCATTCCATCCTCAATTAATACCACCTGATAGATGATTGTCATCATTATTAACATCAGCAACATCATCTACACAAAATTCTAGCAAAAAAAGAAAACCATAAGTTAAATCTTCCCATTTAAACTAATTGAATATAAACTAGCTAATACCAAATTGAAATTGCCAGATCCTTACCTTCAAAACCCTAAAACAAGCACCAAAATTTAACTCACCCACCTACCAAGACCTCAAGTTTTAGACAAAAAAAAACCCAAACCCATCTCACAGAAACCTCAGAAGCTTAATTTAAGCAAAATTAAAAGCAAGCACGCATAATTAACGCTACCATCACTCATTTCAAGCTAATTAACCTTAGGGACAAGCTCAAGACTTGAAATTTACCAACAAAACAGGAGCTCCAAAGCAAGCACACGAGCAAGAAAGTGGTGAGAGTGTGATATGAAGACAGAGAATTTTAGGGTCTTTGTTCATCTTTAATCTCAATGCACATTCTAAATTAGTTAGGAATTTATAAGTTTTTAGGTTGGCAGAGAAGAGTGCTACTTTGTCATTACTCATTACTCATTAGTTCTCCCTTCAAAGAATCAAAGTTCAAAGTTCAAACTTCAATCTGTAAACTGTAAAGCATGGAAGCTTGCTACATTGCAAACTAAGACATATCATGCACAAGACTTGAAGGCTGAAACAAAGACATGCCTACACCGTGATAGTTACCTGCTGGTGAAGATGAGCTGCCGTTAGTTGACCGTTGGGGAGGTGGAGCTCGGCTGTGAACAGGGCAACTATAAAGAGTTGAGTAAGATTCAAGCAATGTGAAGAAGAGTGTATGCAGCTCCGAGATCGAGATCGATTGTGCACTATGTAGCTCCGAGAAGAATCAAGAATGACAACGATGGATTACGGCGTACATCAGCGGTGATGAAGAGTGTGTGACGCCAGAGAAGATCGCGAAATGAGCGGTACCCCAGCTAACGACGAAGCAAGCCGTTGATGGTGAAGGCTGCAGCGACGAGTTTCGACGGTGAAGGGAAGACTCCGATGGTAATTTTTAGAGTTCAATGAAGCTTCAGACTTTCAAAGCAAACGATGGGAAATGCGTGAAAAGGGGGGGGGGGGGGGGGGGGGGGGGGGGGGGGGGGGGGGGGGGGGGGGAATGAGGGAAATGTTGATATTGGGGTTTACTGTTCATTATTATATATTATATAATTAAAAATTTAATTATTTTATATTTTATAAATGTTGACTGGGATTTTTTAAAATGGACGGTTGGACCAGTGGGTGCTACAGTACACCGGTCCAACCGTGGGTGTTAACTGGCAGAACGAATATACTAGTTTTTAGGCTCACCCGGCCTGGCTCACCAGCCGGGTCCCGGTTTAACCGGTTCAACCGATCGGGCCGGGCCGGGTTTTAAAACATTGGTTCATAGCTATAGATGACAATGGGTCGAGCCGAGACTGGGTACACCTTGGCCTGGGTACGACCCCATGGTCCTGGCTTGTGCTTAGACTTGGCAAAGTGGTACCTGTACTTGCGGGTTCACAAGTACCCGATCCAAATGAGCGGGTACAGATAATAGTATAAATTACCCGTATGAAGTTTACCCGTACCTAGCCCGCCCGTAAAAAATCGGGTGGACCGGGTGATGCCCATGGGTACCCGCATTTTAATTATAAAAAAAAAAAACGTAAATTAAAAAAATTGCAAAAACAAAACCCTAAGCCTAAAGTGAACAATGTTGTTCAAAAAAATTAGACTAAAACTTAGGGCTTTTGATTAAAAGACCATATTGAGTTTAAATTTAATTAAAAGGTTATCAAGTTTCAATTTTCAAACTCTTGACTAAATAACCTTATTTTTTATTAAGAGTAATTAAACATGATTAAGCACTAATCATGTTTTAATAAGGATCAATGAAGTATTGTCTAATCTTTTAAAAATTATACTATGTCCTCAAAAACCCGAAATTGTTGCAAACAAACCCAAACCCAAAACAAAATCATTTTCCTCCTCCCTCCCGCCATTAATGCATCGGAACTGCCCTCCCTTGGTTGTTGTATCTTCTTAGCAAAACTGAAGATCTTCTTCTTCATCTACATGTTCTTCTTCCTCCACCATTAACACCTTCTTCATCCTCCCCCATTAACATCTTCTCCGCCAAAGATCCACCTCTTCCTCCTCCTGACATTTCGTCCAGGTATGTGTATCTCTTCTTTGCATTTTATATTTCTATTTACAAAGATTTAATGATGGATTGGGTTTGGGTTATGATTTCGATTTAGTGGTTTAGGTTCTTGGGTTGTGTTTGATGCAAGTTGAAAGGAGTGAGATTTGTTGATGATTTTCTTGCATTGTGGGTAGCTGGGGTGGTAGCATCGATTATAGGTGGAGATGACTGAAAATGTATTATGGAGCTAATTGATCGCTCAAGCGATCTGGTATAAGTTTGGTATATAGCAGTAGATCGCTTAAGCGATCTGGTATATGGCAGCGGATCGCTTAAGCGATCAGGTATATGGTAGTAGATCACTTAAGTGATCAGACTTATTTATACTAGATCACTTAAGCGATATTCTGGATTGCTTCAGTAAGCAATACACCAGATCGTTTAAGCGACTCTGCAAATGCTTTTTAAAATCTTTTAACCCTTGATATATCGGTTAATAATTTATTTTT